TTAATGCTGCATTTTTAAATTAAGTTCATTATAACTAAATTTATAATAATAACTCAGATGAGTAATGTAATCTTTATGATCATATTAGTTTTTAGTTTGATGGCAGATACGTATTGAGCCATCTAAGAAATCATCTATTATAGATGATTTCTATAACAGTATTTTTACTATTTAAAATAAATTTAAAAAAAAAAAAAAAAAAAAAAAAAAAAAAAAAAAATATAATTTTAAAATAATTGGCAACGAAACTCCCCGGAAATAAATCTGCTAATAGAGCTAAGCAAATTTATCAATTAATTTAACATTTAGGCAAACGGCTATCAAACTAAAGATTAAAAGTGAAGATCAAACTGTTTAAGTATGTTTACTGGCGAAGCTCTGATAAAGATTTTAAGTATTTATAAAGTAGTTTCTCAAATTTAACTTATCAATCGATACTGAGTATAGCGTTCGCTTAAATCGAGAAATGTAAAGGACCTTGCTTATTCGTACATATCACATTTCTTACAATATATACTACCTGACATATATTCTGAATTGATGGTACTAAAGTAAATAAACGAAAATTTTTACATTACAAGATTTTTAATAGTTTTTCGATAGTGCCGCGAAGCGGAGATGAATATATCTGTAAATTAATTTCCATAGATATTTATTTTATTATTTGGAAAAAAAAAAAAAAAAAGATTTTTTAAATTAAATAAATTTTTAATTTTATTTTGAAACAATAATTAAAACATGTAGGTAAAATTTAATATATCTTGACATAAAGTGACATATGAAAAAACAAATGAATACATGGTCATAGATCATAATGCTCTGTAGTTTAACCATAATATAAATATAAATGTATATTATAAAGTTATGTTTAGTATTTTGCTATCCTAAGAAGTATACTAGTCATAAAATAAGAAATACACTATTAAAATGTCTAAAATGTGTTACGGTTCTGTAAGTTTTGGTTTCACCTGCTGATCACTCAAGAATAAAGTTTTTTTATACCAGTGAAATCTCAGTATTAAATTATACGCTTAAAAGTTTAATATTTAGGTATTAGTTATGAAATGTAATGATATTACTATAACCATTATACTTCAAAAATCATTGTAAATGTGCCTGTGCAAACGATATACAAAATCGCATGTACTTTTATTTTTAAGTGGGTCATTAGCCATATTATAATCTTTATAATCCTGGATTCCTTAAGGCCTTAACTATCTGGAGACTCAGAAACCAAAGTGAAGAAAACCTAGTGATCATATATCACAATAGATTCAGGAATAATCTAATCTAATGTAATACTTAATTAGGTATTATAAATAAAATATTTTAAATGCAAAGAGGTTCTTTTCAGTAAGTTGTGCCTTCTAAGTAAATAAAGCATAAAATAAAAAAAAAATTATTTATGTTTTATGTCTGTTATACAGGGTGTTTCAAAACATGTGTTATCTCTCGTGTGGAGATTCCTCTCGTAAAATAAGATTGGTTACATAACATAGGTCAGACTGCCTTTTTTCTTTGTACCTGTAGGGGTTTAAAGTCTTATTGTGCACACAATAATTTTACTAAAAGAGGAAAAAAGTCAGTCAAGCACATGTTTTTCCATCGATATATAAGTATGCTCAGTGATAACCTGTCCCTGGTAAATATGTCGACACTTTTTGAGTTTTTGTCTCACAATTTCATTCGAATCGTTAAAAGGCACTAAGAAAATAATAAATCAACAAAATCAAACCTAAACCCCTTCTAGCTACGAAACAAAGCGCAGAATGAGCCTATGTGATATGGAAAATTAACTATTTTACGAGACGAATCTCCCCATGAGAATTTATAATTTAAATTTAAAAACTTTGCTTCAGTTTATAATTTTTAATTAAATTTAATAACAATTCATCTTAATTATTATTACATTACTTTAAGAAAAAAAAAAAATATTCTATAATATACAATATCATTTTGTATATAAAAACTTAAATAAAATAAAGAAACAAAAACAAATTTTACCCTGGTAAAAAGGTATTAGGCGTTATAGCTGCCGACGTTCTCCAGGTTTTAAATGTAAACAATCTAAATTATTTCTTAACAATAGCTATAAACTGTTAATTACTTGAAAAGAATCTGACCGCTATAACATAGACCCTACAGACCTCTTGCCACCGTTTCATTAGACATTAGTAGAATTTTCTTTTCATGTAAATGGTTGCTGGATTATAATAAAATAAACATACTATTTTATTGCATATTTATTCCGGAAAAGTTACGAGGCAATTTTCTTTCATCTGTTTTATTAGCTAATAAGATTCATAAGTATATAAAACACTATAGCACCACTAAAAGTGCGACCTATAAAACTAAAGCTGTTTCCGCTTCAATTCAGGTATTGGCAAGGTAAAATATCTTTTTAATGACTTGTGTTTGTATCTTCTTTTATTTTATGTTACAAAAATAACAGTCTAAAATTACAATATCGCACAAAACTGTAACCATTTCGGTGTGAGAATAAATAAAACTGTTAAGGATAAACAGTTTAATGTGACACAGATGAAGTAGGATTCATAAGGAATTTTTATTTATTGCTTTAGTTGTAATTTGATTTTGTTTAAGTTTGAAATTTGAGTTTTTAAAATGACAAAAATAGCCTGTTGCTAAGATCGGGTAAATTGGCCATTTAAAGCAACAAATGGCTCAAAAACAAATCTGATTAAAATATTAAAAAACTATATATAAAAGTTTCTTTTAATTTTTCACAAATAAATATCAGGATAAGAAAAAAGTCGTAATATTTATCACAATTGGCAGCCATGAAGCAATAGAAGCAAAAATAACAGAGTAGTTTCTAAAAGAAAGTCATGTATACAGGGTGGTCTAACTGTATTCCGGAAGCTTTGGCGCTTATATTCTGCAGATAAAATATGTGAAAAAAATTCGTATAAATGTATGTCTTAAATGCTTAGTTTCAGAGATACAGGGTGTAGAAATTTCTGAAGTAACGTATTTGAATGAAAATTAGTGTCTGGAAGTTTTTGACATAGAAATTTGATTTTTGAGGTCCAATATGACTCCTACTTGTGAGGGCCACCTACATATCAGGTTAACTGGTTTTGAAAAGAAAGTAATAACTTTTTCGTCTAAACCTACCAGGCTAACCTAACCTAACCTAACCTAACCGTACCTATATAAAACTACTGAGTAATAAAATATACATTTGCGACACGTAAAAATTATCTAAAATGTAAAATAACTACGAGTAATGGTTCTCGAGATATTTGGAATCAAAATTATCAATACCATCATCATTGACATATATTAAACATGTTGACTAAATAGTTTAGACTAAAAATCATACATTAGAAATGTTTTTGTTGCCAAAAGTTCAGAAACTGTTTTTATCATCATTTTTTTGAAGAAAAATTTATGATTAATTCCAAAACTAAAGTTCCCCCAAATTTATCATTTTGGTCAAATAACTATCTACTCAACATATGTTTATTTTATCAATAATGACATGTTCCCATTCTAAATATCTTGAGAGCATTGGCTCATAGCGATTTTTATAAAGAGACAAATTTTAAACAAAATTTAAAAAAAAAAAAAATGTATATTTTTTTACTCAGTTTTTTTTTTTTTTTATTAGTTATTATTACTCTTCAAAACAGTTTAAGCACATGAGTGGCGGCCCCTACAAGTAGGAATCATATTGACATCCAAATCGAATTTCTCATGTCAAGCTCCCACAAACTAATTTTCATCCAAATATTGATGTTACTCATAAATTGAAAAAAAATTCAAATGAAAATGAAACTTCTGCACCCTGTAACTCCGAAAATAAGCATTTAAAGACATAATTCTGCCAACTTGCTTGCATCCCCAAAATATGCCGAGGGGTTTCAGGCCTGTCAATTCCCCTGTATATCTGGTCATGCAAGTAAAATTCTCTTTAAAAAAAATCTGGCTTGGAGTAATGAAGGCTATAAATAACTCTCCCATTTATAAAGGTGGTATCATTACTATACAAATTTTTCTCCTGTAATTACTAAACTTAAGTTTATATTTTCTTTAAAAAATAACGCCCGCTGCAGTAGTAAAGTTAGTTAAAATATTTTTTATATAATACTTTCTTCTTAATTTTATCGAACAAACAAATTTATAAGTAGGCAATGCGATATTTTGACATATACGTAATTATTTAAATCACTTTTTATAGCTAATATAAAATTGGAAATTTAATTTTATACAGCTTATATACAAAATATTATTTGGTTTTTTACATAAGTAATCACGTTACAAAAGCTATAAAAATTATGGTGAAGCATCAAATTTGTTTCCTGAAAGTCGATGATAATTTTAAAACTATAAAGTAGTTTATAAATTTACATTATCAATCGATACTAAGTATAGCGTTAGCTTAAATCAGAAAGATAAAGATAAATTTAAATATTCGTATAACATATCATAATTTATCATTTATTGAATGTTCCCAAAGTCTGAGAACCAGAACAAACACGCTGAATCATTCTCTACCACATTCGATATAACATAGTATACACATGTTACCAGTATGCGAATTAAAATACCACATTAATTAAAGACAAATTTGTTAATGTTTATTACTTACAATCAAAAACTAAGTAATGGAAATTTTCCTCTTGTATACTATCGTGTAACCTCACTGAAAAACAAAGGAAAAATAAATATTAGTACATGAATATTTTATATGAATCACATGCATAATTTAAAAAAAATGTTTACATGTGATATATTGCCGTTAAAAAGTGACACTAATAGTATTATAAGCCATTACGATTAAAGATAATAATAACTAAAAAATATATACATTCACCATACTTCTGTTAAATCTTATTTTTTAATTAATATTTGTTAAAAATAAGTGAATATATGGAATAATTACACAAAGTTTGATCTCGTAATTTCTACCTGCTTACAGCAGGAAATTCGGAGTTTTATTAAAACTTTTGCGAAAATTTGTGAAGTCTTATATAGCTCTCTTCCTAAAATAAACATAATTAAACCGAAATATTAGTTCTTTGTATCAAATATTTACATGAATTTGAAAGAATTTAGACAAGTAATATCAGAATTAACAAAGTCAAATATTCCAAAAGGTATATCGTAAATACGCATAAACAAAATTAATTGTAAACAAATATTTTGACTCAAATTAATTTTATATATGTATATTTGGATGTAAACATGTTTACTATGCTGCTTTAGCTAATTTCATATTTCTAAAATATTTTATATTATGTGATATAATTTTTGCCATACGATGTGATGTATAAAATTCAACAAAATGTGTTATAAAAATATATATAAAACTAAGAATGTGTACGATCTTCAAGTATTATAACCAAGCAGGCTTTGACTTTGACATATAAAAAAATTCTAATATTAACTTCCCATAAGAATCTTTATATGTCATTAAAACATACATAATTCTGAAATAAAATCCTTTATGGAAAAATAAAACTATTATCTTAAACGCATTCTGTAACTAAAACTAATTAGTGAGGTTAGCTTTGAGAATATAATACGGTATGATCGAAAAAAACGGCGTTGAGAAATGATAATCGATGAAAATTTTAGCGAGGTCACTCTTGAGACGTCATTTATTAAAAATTAACATAAAACTTGTCAAAAATTGACACTAATTATAGAAAGATGGAAAAATTATAGAACCTTTCCAAACACACACATTTCCAAAAAATATAAAAATATTTTTTCTCGATCTCTTAATAATGCCCACCGGCAGTTAGCGCCATTAAAAAAAACAAGAAGAGTACGGGTCAGGAAAATGACGTCTAGGGCGAAAATGACCTCGTCAAAAATAATCATCGTTCGTCATTCCCCAGCCGTCTTTGACGCCACTTTTTTTTGATTGTATGATACTTATAACAATCAAAAGAGGTAAAAACAAGGGCATTTTGCACATAAAAATAAAACTTCTTTATTTTATAAATTGTTATTTAAAGTTAAAAAGTTACTATTTATTATATTTATATATAAAAGACTAATTGTTTTGGAATCATGAAGAAAATCTAATTTATTAATAGTAATACAAAAGTAGACTAAAATAGGTATTCATGTAATAAAAAAAACGCGTTAATATATTGCGCTCCCCTTCGTAAATGGGTTGTCTAAATAATTACAAGGGTTACACAACAAGTATAATATAACGATTTGTCAGAAGGCACATAACTTGTTATCTAATAATTTCTCCAAACTAAAATCTGTAACACCCTTAAACAAACGAAGCAATGTTATATATGAAATTCCATGTTCGAACTGCGCCCAAGTTTACATAGGACAAACTTCTCAATGGTTAGAAAATAGACTGAAAGGGCACAAGTATGATAAAAATTTATCCGCCCCACAAATCATGTGTTAACAGAAAACCATACATTTTATTTTAATAAAACTAAAATTTTAAAAACAGAAAATCACCAAAAAAGAATTTTATGAAATGGTGGAGATACAAAAAAACAAAAACGCGGTAAATGATAAAAAGGGCCTAAAAAATCTAAGCAAAATATATCTGTCGATCCTCTAACGCACTATAAGCAGTAGACATCATGTCCAGTTTTTCACAATTTTAATTCTGTAGGAATCTACGTTCAAGATAAGACCTTTTATTTTGAAATTTTATCTTTTTGATTTTAACTGAGTGTTTTCTTTGTACTTAAAGAGACTTTAAAAAGACATAAACTGTGTCGAAAAATCGTCGATAAAAATAAAATAATGAACAAAATCCAGTAACATCTTTACAGCCACAACGACCTAAAGCAAGAATAAAAATAAAAAAATATATAACTAGGTATAACTAAATATTTTGGAATCCTGGTTGCCAGAATTTTTTGTAATAAACATATGCCATATATACATAATTTAACGTATTATGATTCACATTTTTTCTTCCTCTCAATTTGATTTAATATTTTCTGTCACAAGAAATAGTATTTTCTCTTAGGGGGAATATATCAGTCTGTAAGTAAGTCAAACGCCTACAGACTATCATAATGTAAGATGATTTATCAAATAAAAAAAGTCTTACATTATATATCCTTACAAATGAGAACGAGTCATTTTATCAATTACTGTGGAAATGTAGGAATGTATTCGCTAAAAAATATCAAGTCGCGTTTTCTACGTTAGAAGGATATGTAATAGTCTCAGATCCAGCTGCAGGATTATTACGCTCATCATATTTATAATAAAAACATAATTTTTACCGATATTTATGAATAGGAATAATTACAAATTTGTTTTATTAATAATAATAATAACTGATTCTGGAGACGATATTACGTTCATAATTTTTTTTGATCATTTATATGTCAAATTAAAGCTTTTTTTCTGTGTATGATGTTATAAGGGTTTGAAAAATTTGCCGCAGATAGGGGTTGCCACGGTTCAAAGTCGTTTCTAATACTTTATACGAGCCCGGCAACACTGCGTCGGGCATCTGTACATCCTACAATAAAAACCTCAGGAATTTTGTCTGAGTGCCAATCTAAAGTATGTGTTAGGTGTATTTTATGAAACTATTTGAATTCCTACAGGGTAGCTGAAAAAAGTGTGAGTTGATCGGGATGATTTTTTTATAACATATCAGTCTGTAAGTAAGTCAAACGCCTACAGACTATCATAATGTAAGATGATTTATCACATGAAAAAAGTCTTACATTATATATCCTTACAAATGAGAACGAGTCATTTTATAAATTACTGTGGAAATGTAGAAAAAAACGATATTATATATTATATATACAGGTGCGCCACCCTATATAAAGGGTGGCGCACCTCATTCGCCTCGGTTGATTATACGAAAACGGTAACATGTAGAAAGAAAATATTTTATGGGTATATGTGGAGAGACAATGTGCACAATTTAAAATTATTTTGAAATATAGTTGGGGTGTTTCAGAACTAAGATCCATACCAAAGTTATATTTTTTCTTATATAACACCCGGTATTTTATTTCATTTTTGGATTCCTGGGCCCAAAAAAGCACTTATTTTAAGGGTTAAATATGTTTAAAATCTTTGGTTTTTGAGATATTTAAAGTTATTTAAATTTGCATGCTACAATAGAATAGATTATTAACACCCTGTACATTACTATTCAGCATTAATCCTTATGCTGACTTTAAAGGTAAAGAAGTAAACTTTACTGAAAAATGGTAGTGCTTCCTTAAATTTATACAGGGCTATCAAAAGTTGCTGATCTGTTTTAAGGATATATTTTATATAAAAACTTCGATATTTCAAATGCAACAACCTGTATTTTTTTAAATAAATCGAAGCAGATTCAAATGCTCTTTCAAACTATATTAGGGTTTCCTTAACCTATCTAGCTGAGATTTTGCATAAAAAGCGATTTTTAAATAAAATTGCAATCAAGATGGCTGGTATCGCTATGGCAATTTTATAGTGACAGTTAGTAACTATTTCCAAAGTCGACATTAGTTTATGGAAACCTATTAGGCAGAAACCTGTCGTTGGAAGTGAAGAAAATGAATTTGCCATAATTGACTCTTTTATAGAAAATCCATATATCTACAAGTCATCGTAAAATAAATCAAAGAACTACTTCTTCGTTTTTCTTGGTAGAATAATAAATATACATATTTAATAAATATTATTTATTAAACTATTGCAGGTAAATTAAATAAAAGTAAACTGGTAGAAATTTAAATAAGTCCATAAACCTTTAAACTCAGCATAAGAATTAATTCTGAAAAGTAATGTACAGGGTGTTAATAATCTGTTTTATTGTAGCATGCAAATTTAAATATCTTTAAATATCTCAAAAACCAAAGACTTTAAAGATATTTAACCCTTACATACAATAAATGCCTTTTTTTGAACTTAAGAATCCAAATATGAAATAAAATACTGGGTATTCCATAAGAAAAAATATAACTTTGGTATGGATCTTAGTTCTGAAAGACCCTGTATACTTTGAAATAATTTTAAATTGTTCACATTGCCTCCCCACATATAGCCATAAAATATTTTGTTTATACATCTTTCCGTTTTCGTATAATCAGAGGTTATCATTACCTCAACTGAGGTAAATGGGGTGCGCCATCCTGTATTATTGCATTTTGGCTTCCTTTCTATATGTGTCAATCATTTCAAAAATATTAACAAATAAATAAAAAAGAAATATTTTCAGCCTTTCTAAAAAAAAATATATTAAAAATACACAAAAAAGAAATGTTCTGAAATCAAATACAATTTTTTTTTAAGTTTTGATTTTTGCATAAAGGCAACTGCTCCATGTGTCCAAATTATTTTCAGCATTACAGTGTTGCTGCTTCAACGCTGCAACTTGCTTGGGAACATCTCTGATATTTTAAATGGAACACCCGCTATAAAATTATATTTTTCGAAACTACTAATTTTTCTAACGTTACTTTGAATGTGGTAGACAATGATTCAGTATTAAAACTAAAAGAGTTTCGGACTTCCATTGTTTTTATTTATTTTGCTTGCACAACGTTTCGGTCAGCAGTATCACTGACCGTTATCAAGGGTTCACACTTGATAATTGTATATTATATAGATGGAATAGGTGCCTTTATGTAAAAATCCAAATTTTCAAAAAAACTAACGTACCATCGCATCGCCGTGAATCGCCCTATAATA